TTTTTGATTGGAAATTTTTTTCTCAAAAAATGGCGGTGTAGCACAAAAAGTTCAGCGACTAAGTGACTTGCACTATACTATTATTATATTATTGCTTATATTCACAAAAAAATAATTAATATAAATGTTATAAAAGTATACTGCCCTCTAAGCTTAAGTATTTATTATCTCTATATTATTAATGGTGCTGTCCCAGCCGGTAGAGGTTTTGATTAGTAGTCTTGTATATCAACGACTGATATGTTAATAATAATAATAATAATGAACGTTTGTACGAACCGCAAAATTTGAAATTTTTTTTAAATGACATGGATGTTAGTTCACAAAGCGATAAAATTTATATAGGTATAAATATAATGCCGCAATATAACAATGTTTTCTTCCAATAAGTTTCTAATGGTTGATTCATTGATATTGTAAATTTTGCTTAACCCTGAAATCGTGTTGTTATCCAATCTTAATACTTTGCCCTGAAAATTTGATAATATCAGTTTTACAGCAATTGAATTTTTCGCATTTACTTTACATTATCAATTGTTAATATTGAAGAAGACGCATCAAGCAAATGCAAAGAAAGTCCAGCCTGAGTAATATTTATAATAAAACCAGAAAAGCACTCAAATTCCTCTCCCCCAACAATACTCGCTATGGTCTTTTTTCCTTTTCGATTTCTAACAAATAATATGCCATTTGATTTGGAGTTCAAGTAATTATAGATATAGAGATAATTTTGGCAACTATTAAAGTTAATCATGGCAACTATGAAAAACTAATTATGGCATTACAAATATGGGACTGTCTCCAGCAAAAACAACCTCCGGGCACGATTCCCATTTTTTTATTAATATTAAGCAAACAGGATCTAATATCTTCACCAGTTATAATTTACATGTTATAGGATATATTGCCTGTTAAAAAAATTAGACATTCTATTTGTTGATGTGGACAAAAAAGCTAAATATATTAATATTATTATTTTGTGTTCAATGTGGCTAAAAATAAAATTTTTAAAATGAATAACACTTTAAATGAGAGCAAAAAATGGTTAAAGAATTTTTTCACCAATATATATTATGATGATGAACATTCAAAGAAAAGACAAAAAAATTACGGGGAATGTTCAACTTGTTATAGATATAATACTTGGTATTCATGGTGTCAAACATGTGACCCAAAGCTATTAACTGAAGGATGGACCAGTGGTAATAAAATGATAGATGAGTTGGTTAAAAGTACGCAACTTAAAGCAACAGACTATAATAATTCTCATTATCTTCAATGGGTTCCTTATAACGATCTAACGAATATTGAAAAGATAGGTGAAGGTGGTTTTGCAATTATATACAAAGCTACTTGGTTAAATGGCGAGAAATGTGTAAATTATGATAATAACAAAAGAATCAGTGAAGATAGGGTTGTGGTATTAAAAAAATTGCATAATTTACAGAATATTTCTAATGAATTTCTTAATGAGGTAAATTATTTTATTAATATTAATTAAAATCTTATTGATTATTATTGTTGTAATTAAATATTTATTGTTATTTTAGTTCAAAAATTATACAAGGTTTTATTATAAAGATGATATAATTCATATTTATGGATTAACACAAGATCCAACTACAAAAGAATATATAATTATAATGGATTATATAGAAGATGGAAGTCTTCAAAATTATTTAACAAAAGATTTTAAAAATCTAAAATGGAAAGACAAAATTAAAATTCTTAAACAAATTATTAAAGGTTTAAAAGATATTCATGAAGAAGAAATTGTTCACCATGATCTTCATAGTGGTAATATTCTTCAATATAAAAATTTATCATTTATTACAGATTTAGGATTATCATGCCTAGCTAGTCAAACATCTGTATCAAACGAAAATGATACATTTGGAGTGCTACCATATGTTGCACCAGAGGTTTTAAAAAAGAAACCATATACAAAAGCATCAGATATTTATAGTTTTGGAGTTCTTATGTCTGTAGTGTCAACTGGCCAGCAACCACTTAATAATTTGGCACATGATGTAGACCTTGCAATAAAAATATGCGGAGGTGTAAGACCTGGATTCTCAAACAACACACCAAAATTCTATATTGAACTAGCATTCAGGTGCATGGATGCTAATCCAGATAAACGTCCAACTGCAGGAGAAATTGAAAATATTATTGATTTTTGGTTTAGTTCATTTGAAGAATTTGATAAAATGGATGAAATACAATTTGATCCTTCAACAATTACTGCAACAATTCATCCAAATGCTGTTTATACTAGCAGGTTATTAGAATTTACAGGCCTTCCCCAACCTGTGAATTCCAATAAAGTGACAATTATTGGTAATAATAATGGTAATTATTAACATTTAATCTTTCGATTGTTTTCATTTTTTATTAATTTATTAATATCCACTCTTATGTTAAATATTTTTTTAGATTCTCAACAGATTGAATTAAATATACCAGATGAATTACTAAATTGAGTTAAATCTTGTCATTGTTTGTTTATTTCCAAACTTATTATTATATATTTTACATATAAAAAATTACATGTAGTGAATACAATATTAATATTAATTAAAGCACATATTATGGTTGGCTTGGTCTAAAGACTTCCTCCTGTTGTTGCGCCCCAATATCTAAACTGAAGTTTTTCCATACTTTAGACAAAGTCTTTTCTATATAATTAAGCCTTCGGAAAATCGAATCGAGTCGGATTTTAAAGCGATTTGATTTGATTCAAATCAAACCAGATTTTTAAATTGATATTATGTTTTAACAATAAAATGTGTTTATAACTAGAATAAGGCAGATGCGGTCAAGCCTCATTTCAACGACTCTATGTGAAGCAAAAATTTGTTGTGATGCGAATTTAATTATATATTTAATATAATGAAACGGAAAAAATAATCAATGTTCAACAAATGAATTTAATTTAATAACTTTACCAAAAACGGTCAAATAAAATTCAAAACAAAACCTTTCTTTATTAGATTTAGTCTGTTTTATCCTTTGACCAAATCGAGTAAAGTTTTTTGTAATATTATTGGAATCAGGGAATACGTTCTACCTGTTAATTAAAACATCTCACTCTCATTATTTTAATATTTTAATATTGAAAAGTCGAATGCATAATAATAATAATAAATAATAATAATAATAATAAAGGGATAACGGTAGAACAAAGAAAATTATTGTGGAAACATCGCGTGCAATTGGAAGCTTCCAGCCAATAAAATTTGAGAATCAAAAATTAAATTTGATTTTAATTTTCAGCCAATTAAAATTTTATCAAATTTCTGTTTTTAGACATTTTTTTCAAAATGGAAAATTTTTACTAAAAAGTATTTGATTATTGCTATACAATAATTGCTGATTATAGAAAAGCCTTTCGTCCGTGAATTTTATTAAACTGGGTTTTTTTTTGGAGGCATAGAAATGTAAAAAATATATCTGCAACATTGAATTTAAATGGGCAACTAAACTGGAGAAAATAAAAAATTCATAAAAATAATTTATTAGTTTATTTATTTCTTGAACTCTCATCAAAACCAATTATGACAGAGCCAAAAAACCAACACCTGGCAAGATGTGTTAAAGTATTAGGCAAACAAAATAAATGCAATATACATGCTGTTTGCATTGGCTGCTATGGAAGATTAGACACAGAAAGACTAAATAAACATACTTTTACAAGCAAGAGGCCACAAGCTAAAAATCATTTAAAAGGTCGCGTTTTTCAAATGTCTTTAATTTATCACGTGATTAATCCTGATTGTGCAATAGTATTGATGACGTAGTCAGTCTTCCAACCTCATTCTAGGATCATTACTAGTTTACAAATGTAATTTTTAAACCAAATCACGCGAGGTCCCATTTTTTGAAAAAAAAATTTTATTGCATTTTTGAATGAATCATGAAATCG